TAACATCATACAGTGTTGATGTACATCATACATGACTCATTCTCTAATTCACTTGTCTACTTAAATTGTAAATTTACCACTGTATAATATGGGTTGGGGGTCAGCAGGTACCATCTTGGAGCTGCCTTCCACATCCTTTCTGGCTTGGAAATCAGAAGATGTGTGTTCTAGCAGCCCAATTTCTGGGCACAAGGCCTAGGCCAACTCTTTTCATTTCTCTAAGATTTCCATTCTGTGTGTAAAATGAACACGCTAAGATGATTTCCCAGTTAATAAGAGCCACAACTCAGTTGCCTTGGAGACTGAATGACAAAGTCAGTCATGAAAAAAAAAAAGACTCTGGAAACTCAACAATCCTTGTATCCTTGTAGGGAAATCTTCTCAGCCCATACCCATAGACTTCTGCTAAAGTAGCCCTCCTGGGGAGGACACCAATAACATACCTGTAATTCTTCACCTTCTGCCTCCTGGCCTTCCATCTGTGCCACTGAAGCTTTGCCCCTTTTTACTGCGCCTAGGATGGTGGGTACCAGAGAAGAGCTTCTGCAGGCTTATCTCTCTAATAACTTTTATGTAACTTGTTCATGGAGCACCTGGCCCCCGAGGCACTTGGGTGACAGATGACTTCCCATTAACAAGCCAGATCCCCAGTGCCTTAATCAGACATGAGGAGGTGATGTTTGGTCACCCTTTTCCACATGACTCATTCTCTAATTCACTTGTCTATTGAGCCTTATTTTGACCATGAACCATAAATTAAGAGAGATAGTAAAGAAACAGAATGACATGGAATTAAGGCAAGAGGAGGAGGAAGCTATATGAAGTTAAATTTAACACTGCTAGCACTTAAACATGATCTCATTGCCTCTTACCAGCAGATTCTTGTGAAGCTCATTATCCACGTGGTCTAGAGGAGGGGACATGGGCTCACTGCCCACACAGCTAGTATGTATGAGAGCTAAGACCAAGCCTAGGTCTGTTTCACATTAAGCTGAGAACCCCTCTTCAACCTGGCTTCACAATACTTGATTAGTTTTATGTAAAGCAAACCTTGCTTTAACTAGTGTGAGAAAGACTAGTCAGCATTCTATAGGGTTGAATCAACAAAGTCCACCAGAGGGGACTTCCTTTACCCCAACCTGTGATCAATCAGTTATTCTCCTGAGAGCGCTGCAAAAACAGACTTCATCAGGACTGTAGATATCATCAGAAAAAGATCAGAAGTGAGAACATTTGCATCCCAGAGGTTGCTGGGACTCAGCACCTCATTCAGAGAGTGGGTCGATCCTCACCCGAGTCTGTCTCTCCTCTAAACATGTCCTGATATAAAATGCAGCCAGGTGCCTTGAGGTTGATCTGAGTTCTGGGAGAGGAAGACCTCCACTGGCCTCCCCTTTTTGCTTCTCTCCCTGTCCCCTCAAGAGCCACCTAAATCTCGGAGGAGAGAGAGCCTCAGTCAGTGCTAACTTCTTTCTGGACCACGCACAGCCTAGCTGAAGACGAACAGCTGTGAGCATGGGAGGCAAACTCATAAAAGGCCTACGAATTTTACTCACGGCCATAAACACATTAGAATAATTAGAACTTGACGGTCCCTCGCAACCTCCTCACGTCTCTCTTCCCTGGCATTTGGAAAAGAACTTGAGACCAACACACCAGCAGCACCAGGGCCAAGATGTCTTGAGGCTCAGATGCAAGCTTCCCTTCTAAGGGACTTCCCAGTGCCCAGTAGTAATCAATGACTCACTGATGACAGCAGCCACCCGCAAAGTTCTTTGTCCTCTTACTACACTAATCTGATGCTCAAACTGCCTCCTCAAGTGGGCAGGGCAGGCTTCTGCTTCATCTGTCAGAGCCATGGGCCCTTAGTGTATCAAGGCACTGTAAGTACCTAAAGCCTAATGTATTCATTATGATTACAAAACATCTACCCTGTGGGCACTATCTTCTGATTGTATTAAGAATTATTTCCTTTCATCTTCAAAATACCCTGTGAGGATAGCTCTTTGCAAAAGAAAAATATGATAATGAAGGAGATTAAGAAAGAAATTTACAGGGGCTGGGGATTTAGCTCAGCGGCAAAGCGCCTGCCTGGCAAGCACAAGGTCGTGAGTTCGGTTCCCGGTACCAGAGAAAAAACAAAAACAAAAACAAAAACAAAAAAAAGAAAGAAATTTACAGTGTCACAAAATTAGAGTGGTTGAACTAGGACTTGGACCCAGGCAGTGCGACTTTCTCAACTGCTGTTCAGTAAGGGCTCCTGATACTCCACAGCACTCAATAAATTCAGCGGGAACTTGCTTTTCCCTTCGGGGAAAGCAAAGCCATGTCTTACGTGTGAGACTTCTTTGCAAACAAGCTCTCCCTGAGGACACTGTTCTCCCAAGTCAGTATGAAGGCCTAAGAGATGAGGACCACTTTCTTACCCCTCCTCCCATGGTAGCACCACTAAAAAACAGTCTTATATGGGGAAGTCAGCAATCCTTCCCCACCGTTCATGCCCTACATACCTGGACTCCTCAAGTTTTGCTCCCCATGTAGGGGAACAAGAAGTACAAAGAGTAAGGTATCCCCAGCCCCAGACATGGGAGTCCGAGCTCTCTGTGTGTCTTTGAGTGCTCTTCAAACCCAGTGGTCAGAGACTATGAAGTGGGTGGCAGGAAGAGACAGGGGACAGCATTTGCAGCCTTGGCTGTAAAGCTCTTGTCTCTTGAAGAAGAGGCAAACACACCAACGAGCAAGATGCCCATGGAATTTGACTTGTGAATGCAGATTTCTGAGTGGTCACAGGCCTTAGATATCACCCAGTACAGTTTCTTCATTTGACACATAAAGAAAATGAATTCTAGAGAATGGTGTTTTGTTTGTTTTGTTTTGTTGTGTTGTGTTGTGTTGTGTTGTGTTGTTTGAGGAAGGGTCTTACTATGTAGTTCAGACTGGCCTTGAACTCACTATGTAGCCTAAACTCACAGCAATTTTTCTGCCTCAGCTTCCCAACTGCTGGGATTACAGGTGTGCGCCACCACCCTTGGCTGAGAATAGTTTTTGGAATCCTGTCAGGATGAATCCCAGCCTGGTTAACCTACTACATGGACATTCCACTAGATTTCCCACTGCCTGCATACAGGAACTCATCAAACCTTTCAGGCAGCTTTGAAGTGGCAGTCCCAGACACAACTTGTTGGCCCAGGACTTTTCATATTTCAAGGACAGATATTCTACAAAGGTGAGAAAACTGTAGGTAACGAGACCATATGACTTTTGTATAAGCTGGTACCCTTCTGCCAGGGTTGGGGATCAGGGCATACTAGGAGAAATGGGGGCCTATAGGTACCCTAAACATATGAGGTCTTAGGGTCATTCGTGGTGGAGAAGGCAATGCTTTGTGATTCATTGAGCCAGCAGCCACTTCTTGGACACCAACACTGCCACCATGCCAGTGCCTGACACAATAGGGAACAAGCAGATGAGGATTGCATGCACACAGTCTAGCCCTTGGTGGTTCAGCTCTTGCTACCACCTAGCTGTGCTTGTCACAAGCCACTGTCCCACTCTGGATCTCATTTTCTTCAGAAAATGAAAGAATTGAACCATATCACCTCTCAGGGCCCTCCCTTCAAGCTGTAGCGTCTGGGAATCTATGGGTCCTTTGGCTGAGAGAAGAGGTCCCAGCACAGCAGACTTCCCCCTTGCCAGCCCATTGCACTAACCAGCAGAACACATGGCCTGGCCCCTCTTGGCCTCTGAGCCCCACCCTTACCCAGTCTGTCTCAGCTCCCCGCAGCCAAGTATGGTTGCTCTTCCCATTTGATATAGAACAAGACCCTAGAGATGGAGGAAGAGACCTGCAACACACACACACACACATACACATACACACAAGAATTGGAGTAAACACAAAAAGTCACAACATTCAAACAAGTGCAAAGGACATACCAAGAATCCTCTGGCACTACCTCTGTGAAACACCTGGTCATGTTTAACCCAAGCTTCAAATGTGATTTCCACGTGGATGCTCCTCCTGGCAGGGATGGTGGGAGGCAGACTGGATACCCTTGGCATGGGCCGAGCTCGCCTGAGTCACCCCACTGCCTCCTAAGGGACAGGTTCCACTGTGCCAGCCAGCATCTGACAAAGGGAGGTGCTACCACTCCAGGTCTCCGCCATGGTCTCACTTCGAATGTGCTCTTTAACCTAAGCTCTGCCACCACCTCCCTTGGAGCCAGCAGATGGGGAAACAGAAGGGAGATGGCTAGTAGGTCCCACTGGCTTCCCATGGAGGACCTCAGCTTAATAGAAGTTGTCATGTGTCAGCTTAGGGCATGAGCAGTGCCGCCTCAATAGCAGCTGCTCCAGCGGCCCACAGCCAACCTGGGGCTGATGTGAAGGGGCCCATTCTAAGGCGAGAGAAGGAGTCCCGGACCCAGGCATGACAACAACCAGGCACAGGTGAAAGGGAAGGGACTCTAAGTACAAAACTAGCCTGCTTTCGTTGGCCAGGCCAGTTCCTAGCATGAAATACTTCTGCCTTCCAGATATGATGAGCAAGAGGAAAGGAGGGAGGACCTGATGCTATGGAATTCACTACTAAACTTTGTTCAACTTCTCCCAAAAATTCTAGATCATAGAGTTATAAATTCAGAATGCTCATCATGCTCAACACATCCCACAGATGAGTAACCAGGTGCCCAGAGATGTTGCAAGGACCCACTTCATGCGGTACAGCCAGAGAGCCGGAATCAGACAGCCTAACCCTTTGCCTCATCCTCCGTTCTCTTTCCTATTTCTCACCATTAAGGTACTTACACATCATAATAAGACCAACTATGGATTAATTCATTTGCCCTCCATTTCAAGTCTCATAATTTTTTATTTTGAATCATTGCACATCTCAAAATACATTTTTGCAAATAAAAATACTAAATTTTGTAATGTGGTATATTTCAATAGCAATTCTATTTAAAAGAGTCTATACTTTTAAACATCAAGGAAATTACAACCTTTCACCAAATGCTGAGTTTTTCTTTACAGCCAGCCAAATCACACGAATTGTTTCTGGCCTTTCTGGTCCCCTTCATGTAACATTTGAATCTGCAGTGCATGGAGCTTTCTGCAATTTACATTTTCCTCATTCGAGATGTCTTGAGTTTCACTGCTCCTGAACTCTGAGTTCCTCTGTTGGGGGTAATAAGAAAAAGTGGTTAGCTTTTACAAGAAAAAGAAAGATATGAGAGGCAAAACTGTCGAAGGAAAAGTTAAGGATTCTGCAGTCGCATCACAGAGGAGAGAAGAGAGGCCAAGGGCCAGGTTTCAGCTCCCATCTCAAAGCCCTCATGTGGTGAGCACAAGGAGGAAGGGAGCTGATGGATGCAGGGGCAGAGGGTAAGACTTCAACAGGCTTAATTCTTTTTCATCCCATGTATTGGGATGAAAGCATGAAAAAGGCCCACTCAGATCTTCCAAGAAAGTTCAGCAAAAGTTAACTGAAGCAGTCAAACATTCCAACCGACCAGAGCCTCCCTGAGCCCACAGTACTCCCAGAGACCGTGCAAGCATCATAGGTGTAAAATCACATTGGCCATTTGTGTGGAGAGCAGATGCCGAAAGCATGCCTTTTACGCTCATTACAGGCAGCAAAGCAAAATGATTGTCAAGCCTGTCATTAAAACAGCAGGGGAGTTAAACCCTCAAAAGTTCTAGCAAACGAGGGAAAGAAATGGAAATAAAATAGATAATAATAGGTATACTGTACCAGGATGATGCATAACATATCTTTACCAAGGCAGAGCACTAAACAAAGGCACTGTATTTTATTATAGTAAATGTATTTATTCATTTTCTAGTATGTTATAGATTTTCTAGAGCTCTCAGGCCTTCACATTCTTATTTTTTATTTGAGTTGTTAATTTTGTCAATAGTAAATTCATAACTTTTCTTATTCTATTTTTGTGTGTTTGTGTAGTGTTTTTTTTTTTCCTTTTTTTAGAAAACCTGACTTCCTCTTAAGAGAAGCAAGCACATATATACACTAAGGAAGATAAATCAGGAGTGGGACCAATTAATAAAGAATGATGAAGCTTTATGCCAGTTCACATGTGCCCGCAATATACAGTGAAATGTGTTCTGGGCAGCACCGTGACCAGGTGGCTGGATTTATGGGCTGGTAACAGTTTTAACTAGCTCTTTGGTTTGATGACATAGGAACAGTAGTAAGCACCTCAGAGGACCTCTCAGAGGCATACAACCAAGTGCTAGTTATCTCAGAGAAACAAGGAAGGAAATGAGTTCGTAACATTAGAAAGCCAGGCAGCATGGTGCAAGGGAAAACACAGCATATTGGTCATATATACCTGAAGTCAGTTCTCCTTTCTGTCCCTCTCTGAGCTTTCATTCCTTCACTTACAAACTTTTGGAAATAATGCCTATTTTAGAGCACTGTGCTGAGGACTAAATAAAATGACGTTTATCGGGGGCTGGGGATTTAGCTCAGTGGCAAAAGCGCCTGCCTGGCAAGCGCAAGGTCGTGAGTTCGGTTCCCGGTACCGGAGAAAAACCAAACAAACAAAAAAAAAAAAAATGACGTTTATCGAAGGTGGTTTGCATGCTACACAATGCTATGCAATTATTATCCTAATGACCAAGACTCCAAATCTCTGTCAGTTGGGAATCTGAAAGGTATAATGAACTTTTACTGGAAAACAAACATGAATAGAAGTCTCCCCTGCAAGCAAAAGAAATTCAACTTAGACATCAGAAATTTTGCCCCTAGGCCCCCACCCTAATGAGACCTACTGAAAACTACAATTCAAAACTCCTTTTCAGGAGAGCTTTATGACATGAGCTCACCTCACTTCTAAGGGTACAAAGAAGCTGTCCCTTCCCTTTGGAAAGAAGGTTGACCTTGTAAGAACTTTCAGATTAAGAGCACTTTCCGAAACTCCACTGGTCTGACTCATCTTACCCTTCATTAACCGTGACCATCTTAGCAACTGTATGAGTAATGGCTCTCAGTTCCTGAGAATTTAAAGCATGGAGCACATTGATTTTCTGTATATATCTGTACTCCTCAAGTCCACTTTCCACTCAAGCAGGCAAGAAATTTTCTTCTGTTCTACATATAAAATAATTTTTTTAAATTATTTTTTAGCCGGTCATGGTGGCGTACACCTGTAATCCCAGCACTTGGGAGGCTGAGGCAGGAGGATCATTGTGAGTTCGAGACCAGCCTGGGCTACCAGTTTGAACTGCATAGTGAGACCCCATCTCAAAAAAAAAAAAAAAAAAAAAAAAGAAAGAAAGAAAGAAAGAAAGAAAGAAAGAAAGAAAGAAAGAAAGAAAACAGAAGCTCAGCAGTCATAACTCATCAGAGGTGCCACAGCTAGTAACAGAGCTAGGAACTGGGCCCAAGTATGTCTAACCCTAAAGCTGGTTTTTCCATTATGCCAAACTACCTGTAGTGGTTTTCTATTGCAATATAAAAAAGTACTACAAACTAAGTGGTGTACATAATATCGCAGTTTCTGAGATTACAAGTCTGGCTATATCTTAGTTAGGTTCTCTGCTTAGGGTCTCAGCAAGCTGCAAGTAAGATTTTACCAGGCTGTTCTCTCATGTGGAACCTTGACTGGGGAATGTCATAGACTAGCAAGGCGCATCTCTCACTAAGGCCAGTCTCTCTACTAGGGTCTTTCACCTGGTTTGAGTGTTGCCCACCTAGAGTAATCTCTCTTTTTATTAACTCAGAATGAAGTGATTTGGACCTCAAGATGCCTGATAAAGTCTATTGGCTAGAAGCAACCCTGGGATGCCACCTATACTCAAAGGGTGAAGACTACATGGGATGATGAGGGGCAATCTTAGAATTCTGCCTGTTACACTGCCTCTCTGGAGTTACGCCTGCAGGAGATGCAGTTACAAGGAACACAAGCCAGCAGCAGAGATAGTAGCTGGGTCTATTCCAGTGGTGACAAAACTATGGCATGTATATTATTGTGTTTTTTCTTTTAAGACAAAAGATGTTAATGGATTGTCCTTTGAGACTTACTCATGCTGAAGGGTGTCAGCTAATTGTAGCCCCTCTAAGCCTTCTTGGAGTATGAACTGGACAATGACTCTGTGCAATCTTTGAGTAACCTTTCATCCTTCATGTGGTACCAAGGTTGTGAACTGTGACAAGTGTTGTCCAGTGTGAGGAATGTATGAAGACTATGTGAGGAATAAGTTGGTGCAACTCAGAGCAAGAGGACAGATCTCCCAAAGCCTGGAAAAGGAACAAAAACAACCAACTTCACATCCTGATTCCAGGGGAAGGTGGTGAAAAGGTGAACAGTAGGGAAATAGCCTCTCTGATATTTGATGTTCAAATGTCGGAATGCGGCAGTGTGAGGAGGAGAAGAAGGAGAGAAGTGGTCTCAAGACCTAGCAAGAATCTGAAGTGAAAATTGAAGCACACGAGGAGGGTGAAGAGAAGGACCTCAATGAAGAAGGAGGTGATAAGCAGCACTTTCTCCCTAAGGATTGACTTGTGGCTTGAGAGGGGCAGCTCAAACCTGCAGGTGCACAGTGACTACTGGTAACCCAAGAATCCTCTAGACAGAAACACACCAGTGCAACAGACCAGTGGATGCAGTGGACTGCAGTGGCTAGTGGGTTATTCAGATTCAGATGTCCCCCCAGAAGAGGATGACTGACTGGTTGCCATTTTAGAGAAGGATCAACTGAGTTCAGAACTCAAGGCAGCTGCAGGTTAGCTCCATCTAGCGGCTCCCACTGTCAGGATGAGGCAGAGTTGAGTTCTATCCAGCAGAAGGTAAACAGAGTTGCAGGGTAACAACTCAGGTTCCCACCTCGCAGCTAGAAACCAGCTTGAACCTCAGTGGAACTAAAAGTGTAGCCTTACTAGGATTATCCACTACCCTGCTGGAAATCTACTGCTGGGATTAATCAGTGTGGATCTGGGCTCTGTCTGCTCACTCTGTCTACCAGTGACAGCAAAGACATGCCCTGAAGTGGCCATTAATTTTCTCCTTTTCTTCCTTTTTTTCCTCGATTATTTGTTCTTGTTTTCATGTGAGTGTGAACATTGTTTCTAGTTTTTTGTTGCTGTTTTATTCTGTTCATGTTTGTTTCTTCCTTTTTTCTTTCCCTCCTGTCTTCTTCACCAGTTTCCCAAGGTTTGTGAAATTTTCCTTTACCCTCCAGCCTTGTTTCTAATCTCTTCCTCTTCTTCTATTTCTCTATTTTTCCCCCTAAGCCTTTTAAAATTTTCTCCACTGAGGGTGAAATCATTATATTCAGGGCACACTTACTGTATACAATTTTCTACTTTGTTTTAGATTTTATTACATAACCACAAGCCTAGTTCATACAGCTAAACGCGGCAAATTAAGAGTTACCACAATCTGTTATATTCTGGGCTGTGCTTGATGCTATTATTATTACTGATTGTACTATTTAGCCAAGGTGACTAATTATTCTACTTAATTGTTCTTCCTGGTATGTCAAGATTGAGGCTGCCTGATGGTCATAAAAAATACTATAGGTCAGTGCCAAAGAGTGAGGGGCTATGTCAAATAGGATGCAACCTCTCACCTCCAATAAATTGAGATAAGATCTTGCAACAGACTCAAAACCCCAAGGCCAGCTACACCTGGAAGACATCTGAGTAGTCATTTCCAAAGGGTTCACAATACTAGCAATAAAGCTACCTACCATATGTAGTTTATACATATCAAACAAGAAATTAACCTAAATAATAGAAAATGAGAAGACATAGAAGGCTAAACCCCAGATTTCCAGCTCTCCAAAGACAAACCCAGAGGGCAATGAGAGAACAGTTCAAAAGCCACCTACATGGACTCTTTGAAGTGGTGGCAGAGGAACTGGCAAAGTAGATGAATGAGGCTCTAGAACAAATCAAATCAGAAATAATTTGTCAGATAACTATAAAAATAGTGACCATAAAGAAGGACCTGATTAGTGACTCCAGAGCAGATAGATTTAAAAAATAGAGGAGTTTAGGAAAATGGTGGAAATCATGAATGCTCAATATAAGAAAGAAATGTAATCCATGAAAATGATTCAGATATCCAAGAGATTAAAAATTCCATTGAAAGTATACCCAGCAGAATGAGCCTATGTAGAGACAAAATGTCAGAAACAGAAGACAGGATTCCAGTTAGCTATCATGAAAAGAAATATTTCCTCAGAATAGCAAGGGACTATGAAAAATCAATCCAACAGCTGCTTGATGGTGCAAACAAGAATAATACAAGATTGATTCGAGTTAATGAAAAAGTAGGAGATAGAGCAAACAACAAAAAAACCTTGTTCACAGAAGTAATGGCAGAGAACTTCCCAAGCACAGAAAAAGAATTTCACATGCATATAAGTGAGGCATATTTTTGTGGTTTATGTTTAGATGTTCCTCCCAAAGCCCCATGCAGTCACAGGGGTGGGGACAGCAGGCTTTTCAGCAGTGCCTGAATCTAGAATGTGTAATGCTAGGGTTAAGGTGTAAGATTGGTAAATCAGTACACTGATTGGTTTGGCATAGTTCTGGCTAGGATTAAGGGTGATAGTGCCTCATCCACCTTAGGACAGGTAGCCTGCATATAATGTAAGAGACAGAAAGAGTCTTGTCTCTCCCTCTTGTTGCTTTGTTACCCTGTAGGCAGCATGAACTGAGCTCCTCTGTAATGGCCCTCTGCCGAGCCACTCTGCCTTGGAGCCAGATGATTATGGACTGAAATCTCTATAAACTCGTGTGCCATATAAACTTATCCTCCTTTAACTTTGGGTGTCAGGTACTTTATCTCAGAAACAAATGTAACTAAGACACATATACAATTCCAATCAGCCATGACCAAAAGAAAATCTATCACAAGGCATATAATAATCAAGAATGCAGAAATCTAACACAAGAACAGATAAAACAAAGCCTAGCCCAGATTAATGTACCCTGCAAAACTATCTTTCAAAGTTGATGGAGAAATAAGATATATCCATGATAAAGAACATGTGAAGAAACTCATGAACACCAAACCAGCTCCTCAGAAAGCTCTAAAGAACATTCTAGAAAAAAAGTAATGAAGACTACAACTCCATGAACCCCAACAGAATGAATCCACCAAGCAAGGTAAGTAATTAAATAGAGGAGGGAAAAAGGGAACCAACAACAGAAAAATATCATGACAAGGATAAGTCAACACATATCAGTTAAAGCCATCCACATAAATGGTCTCAATTCACCAATCAAAAGAAACAAGTTCCAACAATATGCTTCATAAAAGAAACACATTTAATTCAAAAATAAATTCACAGACTGAAAGTCAAAAGATGGAAAACAGTACTTCAAGAGACAAGAACCCAGAGAAAAAAAAGCAGGGGTAGCTATTCTATTTGCAGACAGAGAGAATTTCATGTGAAGACTGATTAAGAGAGATGAAGAAGGTCATTACACATCCTTATAAAGGGAACAACCCAAGAGGAAGAGGTAATAATCATAAATGTATATGCAACAAATACCAGTGTACTCAACTATATAAAACAAGTACTAATAGACATGAAAATTAAATAAGCACTAATGCAATTGTAATGGGGAATCTCAATACCACACTGTCAAAAATAGACAGATCAACTAGACAAAAAAATCAACAAAATAGTATTGGAACTGAACCAAATCTTTGAACACATGGACTTAGTCGATGTCTACAGAGTGTTCCACCCCATAACATCAGAATAAGAATTCTTCTCAGCTTCACACGAGATGTTCTCCAAAATAGACCACATAGTACGAGATTGAACATGCTTGCATAAAGGCAAATGAACTGAAATTATCCCATGCATATTATCCAACCATAGTGTAATGAAATTGAAAATCAATGGCTAAAAAACCACAGGAATTTCATAAACCCATGGAAGTTAAATAATATACTCCCAAGCAACCAATGAGTCACAGAAGAAATTAAAGATGAAATTGGATGGTTTCTACAATTAAACAATAATGCCAATACAATGTACCAGAACTTATGGGACCACAGTGTAGGCAATCCTACCAGGGAAATTCATAGTGGTGAATTTCCATATCAGAAAAACAGAGGGCACTCAAATAAACCTAATGTTGAACTTCAAGCTTCTAGAAAAAGAAGAGCAAGTCAAGCCCAAAGCTCATATGAGGGAGGAAATTATAAAGATCAGAGCAGAAACTAATGTAACAGAGACTAAGAAAACAATACAAAGAATCAATGAATCAAAGAGTTGGTTCTTTGAAAAATTAAAGGAAAGAAAAGACTAAAATACATGCAATAAGGAATGAAAAGGGTGAAATCACAACAGATCCTACAGAAATCCAGAAGATCATCAATACCTACTTTGAGAACCTGTATTCTAATAAGATGGAAAATGCAAAAGAAGTGGACAGACTCCTAGATACATATGAATTACCAACGCTGAATCAAGAAGATATAAAAATTCTAAATAAACCAATGTCAGTCAATAAAATAGAAGATGTAATTAAAATCTTACCAACAGAAAAAAGCCACACTCTTGATGGATTCACTGCCGAATTCTGCAAAAAAAAAATTAGAGAAGATCTCATGTTACTATTTCTCAAACTCTTTAATGAAATTGAAAGGGAAGTTTAGTGGATAAACTAATGGTCAACTTGCAACACCAAGCTGAACTGAATCACTGTGGTTTTGGAGTGGAAGGCCCACCTGAGGCTTGTTTCCAGCAACATAAAAGGAGAACTGGAGGAGAAGATGGTAGACTGTTAATTCTGGAGAAGCTTGTCATACTGGCTTTCCTGATATTAATTCAGCTGTTCTCATCATTGGAGGAGCTCAGGTTCTCATTGTCACTGAGGATGGCTGCAGGTCTCTTTAGGGGAGCGCTGGTCCTTACTTTGAGCTTTGTTGCTTCCTGGATCCAGTGCAGATACCTCAGCCTGCTGGCACAGATTCTTCATCCCACTGGCGCAGACTTTCTAGCTTCCATCACTGACCTTTGGGCCTTCCCAGTACAGATCCTTGATATAGATTTGCATGAGACATTGTCATGGGCTCTGGGCCTCTAGTTAGACTCAGGGAGGTCATTGTCAAGGGCTCTACGTCTTCAGCTGGACTTGTACAGGACATTACCATGGGATCCATGCCCTTAGCTGGATTCCTTGGGTCTCTAGTGTGTGGACAGATCTCTTGCACTCTTCTGCATGTGACTCTTTGGGTTAATATAAAAAAATAGTCCTATAAATTATGTGTCCTGTATTAAATCTTTTCCCTTGTAAACTCTAACTAAAACAAGAAGCAATACTCCCAAATTCATTCCTAGAAGCAAGCATTAATCTGATACCTAAACCAGAAAAGGATTCAACCAAAAAAGAGAATTACAGGCCAAACTCCCTAATGAACATAGGCACAAAAATCTTCAATAAGATACTGGCAAACAGAATGAAAAAATCATCAAGAAAATTATACACCATGACCAAGTAGGATCCATCCCAGTGATGTAGGGATGGTTCAACATACACAAATCAGTAAATGTAATACAGTATATTAACAGAGCCAAGGACCATATGAGCATCTCAATAGATGCAGAAAGAGCATTTGACAAAGTCCAACATCCACTCATAATTTTTTAAAAACCCTACAGAAAATTGGAAGAGGTTATCATTATCTCAATCTGATAAAAGCCATCTGTGGCAAACCAACAGCCAACATCACCCTAAATGGACAAGAACTGAAAGCTTTCACTCTAAAATCAGGAACAAGGCAAGGATGTCCACTATCACCACTCTTATTCAGTATAGTTCTGAAAACATTAGCCAGAGCAATTACACAAGAGAAAGAAATAAAAGGAATAAGGATAGGAAAGGAAGAAGTTAAATAATCATTATTTGTAGATGACGTGATACTTTCCACGGAAGGCCCAAAAAACTCCTCCAAAAAACTTCTACATTTAATAACCAATTTTAGTAGCATAGCTGGATACAAAGTCAATGCTCAAAAATCAAAAAGCATTCAAGTACACAAATAACAAACTCGCTGGCAGACAAATTAGGGAAACTGCACTTTTCACAATAGCATCAAAAAAATTAAATATTTAGGAATCAATCTAACCAAGGAAATAAAAGATGTATACATTGAAAACTACACTACTCTGAAAAAGGAGATCAAAGAGACACTCAGAAAATGAAATATCACTTGTTCTTGGGTAGGAAGAACCAATATATTGAAAATGACCATACTCCCACTATTGTTCTACAGATTTGGTGCAATCCTGATGAAAGTATCAACAGCATCCCTCACAGAATTAGAGAAAAAAAAAATCCTAAAATTCATTTGGAACCAGAAGAGACCTAGAATAGCAAAAGCAATTATGGGCAACAAACACAAAGCAGGGGGTGTCACAATTCCTGACTTGAAAGTATACCACAAAGCTACTGTGTTCAAAACAGCATGCTACTGGCAAAATGGGGAAAAAAAAGGACCCAAAGATCAGTGGAACAGATTAGAATGTACAGAAATGACTCCAAACACACTCAGCCACCTTCTTTGACAAAGGAGCCAAGTACTTTCACTTCAAGAAGGAAAACTTCTTTAATGAATGGTGCTGGAAAAACTGCCTTTCCACATGCCAAAGATTAAAATTAAACCCATATCTTTCACCATGCCCTAAACTAAGCTGAAATTAGATCAAAGATCTAAATATTGAAACAGAAATACTAAATGTGCTGGAAGTGGAATAGGTAGAATTCTTGAAGACATAGGTGTTGGGAAAGCCTTTATGAAAAAAAAAAAGCTGCACAAGAAATATCACAAAGAATCAACAACTGGAATCTCATATTCTTAAACACTTTTACACCAGTAGGTAAATGGATGCACCTTGAGACCATACTCTTTAGTGAAATTAATCAGACACACATGTTTAAATACCACATTGTTTCTCTAGTGTGTAAATAAGGACTGGAATGTATAATAGATATTGGGAAATGGGAAGAAAGTGTTAAAGTGGGGAGAGAAATAGGGAGCGGGAGGAGGGAAGGAAAGGAGGGACAACAAAAAGAATAGAAGGAAAAAAAGAAAACAAAAGTTTTGTAGATAAAGTGAGGAAAAGGGGAGGAAAATGGAGAAAAAGAAAGCAAGATATATCAGGCACAGGTACAAATTCTCTATGATAAATACTGCTATGTATATTTAAGATATACCAAAAAATTTTTAAAGATTTTAACATATGAGGTTTTTTCTAAACTAAAACCTCAGTATTCAGCTTGACTGCAATGCTGGCACTTTGCAATAAATAAGTGGGTTTTGTGTTAGCTTGGCACTCACTCTCTAAAAGGTTTTCCATCACTGTTCTATTTTGACAGTTTCCTGTGGAATTGTAGATAGCCCAATACTGAAATGCTAGTGTTAGCAAAAAGGAAATATTCTAGAATCCAGATCTGGAAGGACAGAGGATCTCAACCTGGTTTGATGCTAGAATTAACAAGGGAGGTTCTGAAAGGTTAAGAATACTCTCCCAGAGAACCTGGCTTAATTGGTATGGAATGAGACCTGGGCATCTTTTGTTGTTTTCATTTTTGCTGGAAACTGTAAACTGTACATTATAGTGTATTCATCCCTAGAGCATGTGCAAGACAATCTACTGAGAAGTGAAAAGAAAAGCTTCAATTTTCTTTTTTTTTATTTTAAAGATAAAAAAATGAACGCATATTAACATAAACACAGACATAAACAAAACAACACAAAAATAATAAAAGCAATACAGAATTTCAGATAAGTTGATAGGAAATTAACAATGGTTGTTGTATTACATATTGCTATCTTCAAATTGGTTACTCAGTTAAATATAGACATGTAAGACTGATCAAACAATTAAACATTAACTGTTCCTTTCCATAAAAGCTTCAATTTTCTAGAAAAATGTATTTCTAAGTTTGAAAATAAGAGAAAAGAAGCTTTAGACTTCTTGTTTGCATAAAGAGCTTAGAAGTCCTACTCCTAACTTCATAAGAAAAAGGCAGAACTGAACATAAACAACTTAAATCCCTCAGAAAACTCAGGTCACAGGACAAACTCTGAAAAGACAGGTGGATACAGAGAATCATACTTATAAGGGCCAATTGTCTGTAGGAAAGATTTGAACTATAATTGGTGAGTTCAAATAATTGCTGAGGGCTGGTATAGACTTGTTTGAGACCTAAAACCTCAGAGGGGCCCAGTCTTGAAGAGGACCCAGCACTCTTGAATCATATATCACCAGAGAAATCTCTCCTCTCTGAGGGATGAAAAGAAAGGTATAGTCATTTTGAAATATGCCCAGATTTTTCTGCTTTTCTCAGAGAAGCCTGCCCTCTGGATAAACTTTGCTAGTAGAGCCTGGTCAACAGGGGTTTTACCAGAACCTAATCAAAGAAAAAGTAAATATTCAACTCTAATTTACACAAAGACCAGAATCTAATTAGAAGACTGGAGGGTCTCTCCCTTCCTCTCAGGTTTTACCACCACAATAATAGGAATCCTGTATAAAAATGAGATTCTAGCTAAACGAAGTACTATCCTAAAACTCTATTAGAGGAATCTCTAGGAAAGCCTAAACATGAAAGAAAGGACAAAATCAAGGATGCTAGAGGAAATTTTAGCCTTTGACATGACAGCTACAGAAAATAGTAAACAGACTAACTGCTAGCCAAATAAATGTAAGCCCCTCATACAAAAAGGGCTATCCACCTCAGTTATTTTAACCAAATACATCACATCAGGCTTTCAACAAAAATCACAAGGCATGTTAGAGAGCAAAAAAAATCTAAAGAGGCAAAGCAGTCATCAGAACCAGACTCCAATATGCCAGAGAGTTTTTAAATGATCACAGCAGGAATTTTAAGTATGCTAGGGCTCTAATAGAAAAAGTAGAGAATGCACAAGAATAGCTGAATAATGTATGCATAGAAGTAAAGACTCTAAGGAGCTGGGGATTTAGCTCAGTGACACAGTGCCTGCCGGCAAGCACAAGGTCATGAGTTCAATTCCCAGTACTGGGAAAAAAAAAAAAAAAAAAGTAAAGACTAAGAAAAACTCAAAAGGTTGGTAGAAATTAAAAAAAAAAAAAAATAAACTAACAGAAATGAAAAATGCCTTTGATAGTAAGGCAAGCTACAAACAGCTGAGGAAAGAATCAGTGAGACTGGACAAATGCCAGTGGAAACTCTAAAACTGAAATGTAACAAATTGCAAAGATAAAACAGAATATTCAAGAACTGTGGGGCAATTATAAAAAGTATAACATACGTATAACAAAACTACCAGAGAAGAAAGAAAAACAAAAAGAATAAAATACATCTGTTAGCTTTCTGTTGCTGTGACAAAATACTTGATATAAACAACTCAAAGAGGGAAGAGTTCATTTTGGCTCATGATTTCAGAGGAGTCAGCTGATGTTTGGCCACTCCTAGCTTTTAAGCTTTTGGTAAAGGAGAACATCATGGAAGACAGTGTGACAGAGGAAACCTGCTCACTTTGTGCCAGCTGGAAAGCAGAGAAAGGGGGGGAAGCCAGAAAGGAAGGGGCC